TAAGATATCTTGTGTATGATTTTGACGTTTTTCCCTTATCAGTTAAAAAGTCCAATAACAGAGAGATCACATATGATAATTTGAGAGATTTAAAGGGGAAAAAAGACAACACGTCAATCGATAGCACGTTACACGGCTTTCGTATCTAATAAATCGAGTCAGTGATATTGAAATGAGTTCAGTTACTAACATCTCCAAATTTACAGATGAGGTACACACAGCAGCGCGCGTCAAGAGAAGAGCGCGCATTTAGAGAGAGCAAAGCGAAAGCAAGATTATGTGTGGATATGTGTCTATATAAAATATTGATGTTTTTGACACAAACTGCAACAAAGTGCTTTGCACTGGTGTTTGAATTGTGTATGTTGCACTTTGCACGAACTTTACTACTGAAACTGCCTGTGATCTGTCCGTTTCTGTGCGTCATTAACAGACTAATTAATATTTGCTCTTTCCGTGAGAAAAATGCTATAATGTTTAAGCGGGCCCAATACATCTCCTGATTATCTCACAGTGCTGTTTAACTGTTTGTGTTCTTTAAGACTTTCTATTGTATGAAATACGACTGCATGAACTGATATTAAAGGGAGGTGCATTTGGTAATGCGCGTTCAGACGCGTGATGCGCACAGAAATCTGCGCTCTATGCTGAATTACTTTCTCTTTCATCTTTTGCAGCCTGAATTGATTAAAATTATTAAAACTAATATTTTTTATATTTAAATCTAATATTTAATTAATATTTATCTAATATTTTAATCAAGATTGTAAATGAGTCTGGCTTGCCAAAACGTGTTTTTTTGAAGCTCACGCGGTCACAAATCCTCAAGTGATCAACTATATACTGATGCACAGATTAAACAAATGACCCTTTATTCTCTTTTAGTAAGAATACATGTATCTAATTTAAACAGTATTGGCAACAGTCAATTGACAGCAGATTCTACATCAGCACAAATACATCACTCACTCAGATGTCTGTTTAGTCTTGTGATCTGCAATACTTCACATTTTTCTGTCAGACATTTGATAATAATCTTTTTTACCTTTGAAACGTTACTTTATATGTGCTGATTGGAGACCGTAACATTACACAGTCAACATTTACAGCGAAATAAAATAGACTTTAATTTAAAGCCTCTTTACACCCTCAGCAATTCTACAGTGCACTGTACAGTAGCTCAACAAATACGAGTTTAACACAAAGAACTGTCTTTGGTTTAATACTCACATTTCAAACTGACCGCGTCCTCTTCCTCCTTCAGGCCATAGGCTGCGGCTTCCTGGAGTAGAAAGGCATCCACCTGGCGTACTTTTTATGGTTACTAAAGTTTCAAACCTACTCCTTTTCTTAAGGCATGTTTGCTCCTACTATGAAATAATTAAGCAGGCATTTTTGAACGCAAATCAGGTATAGATGCAGCGAATCTCGCAAAGGGGGTTTCGGTTTCGACGTTCAGCCTCCGCAGCGCTAGAGCGGTGACGTCACGCCCCATCCCCTATTGGCTGAATTTCTCTGAGAGCCCACGTTTTGGTTGGCAGATACACAAGTAACTTTTGCACCAAATGTCACAGTGATTTTTGGTGCAGAAGAGCGAGAGAGCGAAATGTAGATTTGCAAGTGAAAAACAGCGCTTGAGACTCGTAGCGGCAGATTTGAGCAGTTGCAGGAACATATTTGTGTTCGTGCTTAGAAAAAAATAAATCAAACATTCTACACACGTTCAGCTATCTTTGTGCGGATACACATTCTAATCTACAGATGTGCAAGTTTTGTCTGTGACTTCACATTTCTGGATGCAGGTGTGTGAATGTGTTTTGCACCATATTCACTGCAACAATAGTAGCAAAGAACATGAGCGGATGAGTTTCTGCATTTGTGATTCGTCCGATGGGATTTGTGCACCTGTACTGAAGAATTTGTGCAGGTGTAAATGTTGCGTTGTGTTTGTTGGAGACAAAAAATACCTACACATTTGCAAATTTGCTCTGCGAGTACAAATTTACTGATACGCATTTGCAAATTTGCTCTGCGAGTACAAATTTACTGATACACATGTGTGGCTATTTTTTACAACTACAAATGACACTTTTACAGCTGCTTGGGAGTTTTGCACCAAAAATACCTTCATAGGGCGTACGCACATTTTTTGTGCGTGTCTGTTTTATTTCCATTGGCGACTCCTAGAGGCAGTTGTGTTAAATTCTTCTCTACAAAGTGTCTGATCCTTGCAATGGCAGCTGTATGAGACGGGTTCAAATAGTAGGTATGTAAGATTTCCATACCATACAGTTGACCAGCTAAACATTAAAGCGCAAATTGCAGCAGTCGCAATGTAATCTGAGCAATCTACCGCACACACATTGCTATAAAGACACTATCTGAAGATGAATTTGCATGCGTGAATCAGAAACATTTCCATTCAATAAATGTGCAAATAAAATATGATGCACAAACTTATTGATGATTCCTACTTGTCTTTCTCTTGATAAATAGTGGGCAAAATCTGATATGTAGCGGGGAAAAAAGAAGAAAGAATTTATCAGACGCTGGATTCGAGCCGAGTTTACGCTCGAATTTGTCAGTACATGATCTCATGCTTCTTATGAGGTGCGCCACTGAGACCGCTTAGGGTATTGCAACATTTTTCAGATATAAACCACACTATTTCTTTTTTAAATGCACTCAGTGCGATGTTCAGACCCAACTGTGTTAACCGTATCAGCTAAACTCCCACTCTATTTTTTTCTTTTGTTGTTAATTCCGGAGAACAAACTTGCAAATAACACCGCTTTTCTCCGGTCTACCTCCGAAAGCAGCACCTCCAATTCACATTCTGTTCAAAGTTTCTCTTTTTGCTTGATTTTGCCGTTGCTTTTTCGTTGGGTTTTGCCATTAGCATAGTCATTAGCATATTCATACGGGGGAGGAGGCAGGGAGGGGTTTTGTGCTCGTGCATGTTGCGCTCAGTTTCACGTTCATTCAGATGTACAAAAGAATCTGCGTGGGATTCGGCGTACGCAGTGTTTCATACATCTGAATTTTTTTCTGCGTACGCACATTTACAGCTTCGTGCGTACGCAATGTTTTAGTAAGATTTCCACGCAAGTCTTCGTACATGAGGCCCCTGGTGATGTCCATGTTAGCAAAGTTATAGTATATTAGCAAGAAACCTACAATGAGTGGTTCTGTAAGTGGGGACCACGGACCACTTCTTAGCTACCATGCTTTTTGTCTCTTTTGGATGCTGGCGGTGCTTTCACTCTAGTTCAGAGATGTCAAACTCAATTCCTGGAGGGCCGCAGCCCTGCAGTTTAGTTCCAACTCTGCTCAAACGCACTTACCTGTAGGTTTCAAACAATCCTGAAGCACTCAATTAGTTTGATCAGGTGTTTTTAATAAGGGTTGGAACTAAACTGTGCAGGGCTGAGGCCCTCCAGGAATTGAGCTTGACATCCCTGCTTTAGTTGGTAGCATGGGGCGAAGTCTAGAACCCACACAAGTGGCTCAGGTAGTGTAGCTCATCCAGGATGGCACATAAATGAGAGCTGTGGCAATAAGGTTTTCTGTGTCTGCCAGAGTAGCTTCCAGAGCATGGAGGCGTGGAGGAGGACAGAGGAGGGCAACAACCCAGCAGCAAGATCACTACCTGCAAAGCTCTGTGCAAAGAGGAACAGGAGAAGCACTGCCAGAGCTCGGCAAATGACCTCCTGCAGACCGCAAATGTGCATGTGTCTGCTCAAACAGTCCGAAACAGATTTCACAAGGATCTACACAGGGGGGTTAGATGATAGCCCAACACTATGCTGGACATTTGGCATTGGCCAGAGAACACAAAGTTTGGCAACTCGCCACTGGCACCCTGTGCTCTTCAAAGATAAAAGCAACTTTACACTGAGCACTTGACCAAGTCTGGAGACTCATCGAAAAACGTTCTGCTGCCTGCAACATCCTCTACCATGACCAGTTTAGCCATGTGCCAGTAATGGTGTAGGTGGCATTTCTTTGGAGGGCCGTACAGCCCTGCATGGGTTTTCCAGAGGTAGCCTGACTGCCATTAGGTACCAAGATGAGACCCTTAGACCCCTTGTGAGACCATATGCCTGTGCAGTTGGCCCTGGGTTACTCCCAATGCAAGATAATGATAGACTTTGTGGCTGGACAGTTCCTACAAAAATAAGGCATTGTTACTATTAAGTTCCCCGCCCGTTTACCAGACCAAAATTCAATTAAGCACATCAAGACGACATGTCTCGCTCCATCCATCAACATCACATTGCACCACTGTCCAGGAGTTGTGGGAGGAGATCACTGAGGAGACCATCCGCCACATCAGGAGCATGCCCAGGTATTGGAGGGAGGTCATACAGGCACATGGAGGCCACAGACACTACTGAGCCTCATTTTAATTTGCTTTAAAAACATTACATCAAAGTCAGACCTTCCTGTAGTGCGTTTTTTTACTTCACTTTAGAGTCTGACACCAAATACAGACCTCAATGGGTTAATACATTTAATTTCCATTGATAGTTATTTTTACTGTCAGCACAAATATAAATAATTGTGTTTACATCAACTTAATCAAACAATTCAAACATTTTGGTTAAATCTTAAGCAAAAAAAAAAAAAAAAAAAAAAAAAAAAAAAAAAAAAGGAAAAAAGTATTTCATTCCAGATAATTTTTACTTACTGTAACATATGTGCTTGATTTTATAATAAGTGATTTCAGTTGGTTTGGGAAAAAACCTGAAAGCAGAAAGCAGCAAACATCAAACATCAAGTGAAAGTACAAGTGAAAGGTTGATAAACACATGAGTGTTTGATTTGGACTTAAACCAACATGTTTGTCATCAGCCTTGACTCCATTTGTTTTACTGCCTTTAACTTAACTACACATTAATCCAGGGACTTAAAACTCTTTATAATACCTATTCTTCCAATCAATAAGACAGAGAATAAAACAAACCTCCACACTTTTCAAAAATCACTGCAAAAGAATGTCATATTTGAAGAATTTATTGTTCTGGCATGTGAAACCATGAGCATCATAACAGGCTAATGACAATAATTTGAAACAAAGAGGGGTGGGACAATCGAAAAACAAAACATGTAATTGGTAGAATGGGGTGTAAACCAATGACCCAAAAAAGGGGGGCATCCAGTCATTCACATTAATGAACAGCAACAATAAAAAAAATATTCATGAGCGTTTCTTTGCCTCTGTCCCAAGAAGGGATCATTAATAATATTAATATCAACATCGATAAAAAATAATTACAAGTTACAAAGAGAAGCCAGTACCACTGGGATGAGTGGCTGGCGGCTGCGTCTGTGTAAGTGAGAAAGAGAGAGGTTATGAAGGGCAATGATGTATTTTTGACAGTCTATGCAGAGAGGTCACTGTTGTCGAACCGTTCCTGATCGTACACCTCAGCAATGACCTTACGACCGCCAAACCAGCGGTTGTTGAGTGCCTGAATGGCCTTGTTCATCTCTGACGCTGCCGAAAACTCCACAAAGATCTTGACAATGACTTCGGCATCCTCCTCCTCACCCTGCTTCTCCTGGTAGATGATCACTCTATTAACAGCTCCAAATTTTCCACATTCCTCCGTTACTTCTCCTTCCAGATCGTCATCTATGTCTTCTGGACCAACCATGTTTCTGAGCACCATAACCGTAGACTGTGGGAACATACAGAAAAGTCTGAACACTTTCACATGCATATTGTTATTCTTATTTTTGTTAGTTTTTAATGTGACTTGGATTGAGACACCATGGAAACTGTAAAGCAAGTTTATCACGGCATCGCAACCCTGATAATTCATGTATAACAGGTTGTTGCTTTTTTTATTCCTTTTTTTGCAAATATTGACAAATGTCCCATGTTTATTGTTAAATATCTGATATTCTGATTCTCAAATACATGTAAGCACATGCACTATATGTAAACTGTTAAATAATGAACATTGTTCAATCTTTGACGAGTGATGGGCTGCTGGATTTACTACATGTTAATTCATCGATTTCTCCTAAAATACATGAAGCAAGTGGCTGTTTAACTGGAATACAGTAAATTTTCTAGTTAACTAAATAGTATGTACTTGATGTGAATAACACGCATAAATGTTCAAAACCTAAAAAAAATCATTAAAAAACTGTGAAAACTGACTGTGATTTATGACAGCCACAGCATGCCTCTCTATCATGCTAAGTGTGAAAGATTATGTTAAGTAGATTTGAATTTTAGCAGTTGATCGCATGACGCACTGAAGTTTCCAATTAAAGCGGTGTGATTATATTAACCGGTTAGTGTTGTTAAAGCTCAGGTTTCTTTAACTACATCATTGGACCAACTTGCATTTCTAATAAAAAAAGTTTGGGATGAGCAGTTGAATACTAACCTCCTGTTTTCTCAACAACTTCTGCATGACCATATGTCGTGCGCTGCTACCAGAGATGCTCATGTGCTCCTGTTCACTGAGCATCTCCTGACCCAAGCCATCTAGAAGGGCTTCCTCCTCTTCTTTTTCCTTTTTTGCCTCTTGAGCTGCAGCCACAGCCGCCGACAATGTCGGTGGAGATGACAACACTGGGTTCACAAGACCCACCTGAGGCACAACAGGCATTGCAGGCCGGGCCGGCGTCACCCCTGCACGGAAACACACGAGTCAATATATTAATCTTGGTCTGACATATTCATCTCTGCTTCACACCAAAACACCCCTATGTGTATGGAATTTAATTTTTCTCAGACTACACAACCTTTACAGCACTGACCATTTCGAAAATCTGACGTAATAAAAAATAAAGTAAAATTCATAAATACAAACCAATTAGATTTTCCACTATGAAACAATTAGGGTGTTGGATTGGTAAAAAAAAAAAAAGTTAAGTCAAGATTAAAAGTACAAGTTATTCTAAAGGCCTGTTGAGTGCAGTATTATTTGGGTCAGTAAACCCCGATCTGGCTTGTTTACACACTTCCAATGGCCACAGTACTATCATTTGACAGGTGTGATATATGCCAGAAAATACAATTCAACTTGCAAATGAAAATATTATTGAAAAATTGCAAGTGACTCTCATCAACCTATGAAAATTCTAGCTTAACCTTTAAGTACTGGACCACTGTGCTAGGTACCCCAATGGTCTTTTTAGTATCATTTGCAACTTCTGACTAAATGTATATAAGTGCAGACAGCACTGTACCAAAAGAAAAATTCAATTCTGATAGATAAATTTGTTAATAAATACAAATGCCACGTTTGTTAAGATTAAACCAAAAACATTAGAAAAAGCTTTGGATATTGTGCTGGACAACTAACCCTTATTAAAACTAGTTGAGAACCACTGTTCTACGCGAGTTCATGTTAAGAATTATTATAGCAAATAAAACAGACATTTACAACAAGTCTCTTCCTCCCGCACGACTGACTGAATCGCCACGTTAATGAGTTGTGCCTAAAGAGGAACTTGTGAAACAATCAAACATTTTGACTGACTTCTTAAGACTGATTTATACTTCTGCATCAAGCGCAGTCCGACGCAGCCTTTGCGCAGTTTGCAACTTGCAAAGTTTGCAACTTGTAGCGTAAGCTGTGATTGGTAGGCTTATGGGCCTGTAAAGTGCGGGCACGCCCAAGAGCCACGCAAACTCGGAGCAAGTGTTTACAAGTGTCGAGTCCTGTAAAAGAGCTCCAATTGGAAACTTTTACTTTGTGCTTACCTTATTCTTAAAGTTGTTTTATGTCTGACGATTCCCGCCTCTGAATGAGCAATTTTGAGTTCACTTGTTCAAGGTAGCGTTCAGAAAAACAAGACGATTGCAAAGAAACTCGACACAAAGGGAAATAAATCTCACAGCCAGCTAGCGTTTTGGAAGTGGTTTTGCAGATCAACACAAACAGTGTGTAAAGGTATAACTGTACAGCACCACGCAAGGCATGTGCCATGGGTCACAGAAATGGCTTGATGCAGAAGTATAAAACAGCCTTTAAAAGTTTAGCACTGTGGCAGGGCCAAGAAATCCAGCATCATCTTTAATGTATATAACTAAAAAAAAAATAAATAAATAATAATAATAAATATATATATATATATATATATATATATATATATATATATAAAAATGGAAAACATTTTTAGAAAAAAAGCTCTGGCAGTACTTTAAACTTCTGTACCAGCTTGCCACAGTATTAAAAAAAAAAAAAAAAAAAAAAAAAAAAGGATAATACATCTAATTTGTCCCTTTTTGACCAGTCACATTTAATTATTTGAAATCCCATAGGTCCTCTCTTGGCTTGGCTTCAAGATCAATTCCACAAAAATCACACACAGGATCTGAGAGACTCACTGGCCAATAGGAATGAGAGATTTGTTTATGAGGGGAGGGGTTAGAAACAGTCCTCTTCAAACTTGGTTGGTCATTGTGCAGCAAAGGGGAAGGGTCATGGCGAATGTGGAGAATAAAGACAGGGAGGGGAAGAGAGGAGAGAGAAAAGGAGAAAGAGAGAGAAAGAGACAAGGAGAAAAGAGAAAATAAAAGAGAAATCTATTAGTGGACACGTCCCACGACAGGCCACGATAAACTGAGTACTGTGTAGGACAACAGAAACCTGAGGGAAAGAGAGATTGTGCACATATAGACTAATATTATGTAGGAATGAAAGATCATGATGGGTTTCAAAGAGTTTGCAGGTAAAACAAACAGAGGTTTGAGCGCAACCGCTTAAAATTACTGACCTGATCTAAACGGTGTAATGCGGGAGTGGTCATGCCTGCTCAAAAGCTTTGCAATAAAAATTAAGGGTTAGTTCACCCAAAAATGATTTACTCAACCTCAAAGCATCTTAACTGTGTACTCACACTAGCTATTGTTGCCTTAAACTGTAGCACGATTGTTCCCCCTCCTCTCTTCCCCGACACCCTGCACTCACACTGCATTTTACCTTCTGAGCCAGAGCATGCTTGTCATTGATGATGCGACTGTTCAATTTAACAGAAAGTGCTCTTGCTCAGCACAGAGGAGATAGCTTTAGTTATGTAGTTTATTAATTTTAGTCGTTTTGAATGCAGTGACAGTCAAAACTTGTGGATCTGTTCTACAAAATATTTGACTATCAAATTATTAAAAGAAGTCTGAGCGAGGGGTTTGAATCTTTAATAAACGGCAACAGTTTGCGGTTAATGAAAAAAAAAGTTAATAAATCAGTATAAAATAGTCCCTTAAAAGGTTCACGAAAACCTCGAGTACTTTTGAGATGAACAGATGTGTGTTAAACATCAGTTAAGACAATGTTAGCACCTGTATGTTTTAATTTGGGAAAAAACTGGATAATTGAGTTTTTGTTAGCTTTTGTTTGTTTTTGCATGTTTTGCGATACTGTCAGGGCTGATATAGTAAAACTGTTTGTATCCAGCAAGCATTTTTGTCCAGAGAGCAATCACGAGAATTGGAGAATGGCGGACGTTATCTTTTATCAGTAGTTCATTCACATTTAGACACATCACCATGCTGCTGTGTCTGCCTAAATCCTCCAGATTACCAGCAGGGCTAATGGATGAAATAGGCTGGGCAGGAAACCTGTTGCACTGACTCTGCATTCAGACCCGGGGATAAGGGGAAAAGTCCTCATTTATAGTGTTTATATAAACACGATTATCTTTATAATGATATAAATTGTGGTTATCTGTATATAAAACTACGAATAACAAATGTAAAAGGACATTAAATCACTGTCTATTTCTTTGCATTTTAACTTTGTAAACTATAAAATCATGCGTCTCCTCACAGTTTGGGTCTCATTTTGTGAGCTAACCGACAACAACAGTTGTTCGCTTGCCTCCTTTTCCCCTGCTGGCCACACTCACCCCTGCCCTTTGCTCGTGGAGCTACATGCCCATTATGATGCATCTTTTAAAAAAATTGAGGTAGACCTGAACCGAAACAGGGGGGTCTCATGACTCAACCAAACTGCGCTCTAGCACACCTCTTCCAACCAGACCAGGGCTGGTCAACTAAACCAGGAGCCTGGGTGCAATTCGGAGCACACGCACATATCAAACAAACCGGGAAATGAGAAACAAACGCGCCAGGGAACGGTTTGGATGGCCTAGTGGGAGTACACCCTAAAGGCTGATTAATACTTCTGTGTCAAGCACACGTATGGTCCGGTGCAGCCTTCATGTGGTCGCATAGCTCTTATGACTAACGCTGCTTGTTTGTGTTGACGTTTAACGCCTCGTGACTAAATAAAAGGCGCCAATGTTATTGTGCACATCAACAGACAAAACGCCATCGTAATTTTAAGAAATGTTTCATGCTCGTTTTTTTGTTTTGACGCACCACATAAAAACTTTCACCACCAATCAGATTGGTGCTTTTGTTCACGTGCACAGAGCTGCTGAAATTACAGTAAACAGCACTTGGAGGCACTCAAGCACAAAACTGCAGAAGATGCCCAAAGGCGATATGAACGTGAAGCTGCTTATTGCACTGGTGAACTATAATAATTTCTTCATCTCTAGAGATACTACTTGAACCATCCATGCTTGTTCGAATCACCAGTAACTTTAACAAGCATGTCAACTTTGTCTTCTTCTGTGTTACAAGCTGGTGTCAGAAGCTAAAAGTTGTGTAGCACCATCTAACGTCAACGAGTGATTTTGCATAGACATTTTGCATTAGAATCCAGAAAAACACTGTCGATAAACTCAAACTAAAAGTGTCCTGGTGTGTACGAGCCTTAACACAAACAGCATGCAGAAGTTTCAAATGCACGACTCTGCACAAAGCAGGCACAGTGGATCAGGATGATCACTCTAAACAGAAGTATAAATCAGTCTTAAGTGTATATGGCAATGTTCTCTGTTGAATCCAATCAGACCTTTTAAATGTATCTTAGGATTTTCCAGCTCGTCAACGGCAATGGATAGGTGCTTCTCTTCAACAGTGTAAAACAAGTTCAATGAAAGGCATATTCATCCACAATGCATGGCAAATCAATATATATTTGTAAGAAAAAGACTAATCTTTAAAACTTTAGTTGTGTAATATCTGCCACTTTCAGTAAAATTTTCTGGTGAGGAAAGCAAAATGCATTTCTGCTTCACTGTGCTCCGTCATTTGCTTGACATTTCGGTTCATTAGTCTCTTGCCATAAAATACACAAAACCATTTGTAAAGTTTTAAATATGAATACTTTTGTAAGAAAAACACATTGATGTGCTATAAGAGACCTTCACTCAACCTCGAGCCAGCTATTTTCATTATAGGTGAATATACTTTGTTTTGGACTGATTTGGAAAAATACAACAAGCCATGGCTATGGCAACCTAGAAAAATAAGACATTTAAAACATTTTGATTTAATTCATTTGGAAATCTTCAATACCTAAGGTTCTTTGAGGGAGAGTAAATCATGAGCTAATTAATGAAATTTTTGGATGAAATAACCCTTTAAAATGTCTGTGTTGGTAATAATCATTTGAGACTCCTGTAAATGTTCCTAAAAACCTGTACTCCAAAAAAATAAACAAACAACAACAAAAAAAATATTCATGCAAATTACTCCCAAGAGACAGGCCCCACTCCTACACAAAAATCAACCACATGCAGAACAGAAATACTGACGATATACAGCACGATCAAGGCACGCAAGTGAAGACAATGACTCCAGAGGGCCAAAGAACTGAAAACTATCATACTGCAAACCACTCTGACTGCACCTACCTGTGATGACTCCTGGGGCCTGAGCTGCCATGACGGCTTGTGGGAGCTGGGGCATGCTCAGGCCCGTCCCGGCTGTCATCGCCCCAAGAATAGAGGCTCCTGCTACCGCTTCCTGGAAGAACAGAGTGGGACATATAGGAACACCGCCTGGACAGCGCCCGTTAAAAGGACACACAACACTAACACGAGAGGACAAACATGTCACAGGACAGACCAGGAGACAAGACAAACGGACCTTCACACACACAGACAAGCCTTGGACCAGCTGCATAAAAATGGCCAGTTTGAGATTATGGGTTATTGTGAAATATGATGTGTCAGCATTAATTGAACAAATCTGAACACGTAATGGGTATGTATGATTTTACTTAATTCTCTTCAGAATCGGTGCAAATAACTTAATGTTAACAAGGGCTCAATAACATTCTATTAATTATACAAGTTTACATGTATCCTTATTGCTCGTTTCCACTGAGTGGTATGGTTCGGTACAGTACACAACACATTTATTTCCACTTCAACTATCAGAAGTGCCAATATGGCAAGCTGCACTATAGGACTTTTTCTTGGGGACGCTTTCATAAGGCTTAGCACAACAGTACGATATTAAAAGGTGCACCAAGACTCGATGCAGTACATTAATTATTTAAATATAAAATTATAAGCCACTTGCACGTGCAAAAAGCCAGGGAAACAACACAATTCTAGCTATTTTTAATCATACCAAAACAAAAAATATTGGCACGCAGTACTGAACTAAAACCCACCAGAGCTAAAAGTTTATCATTTTTAAAATCGTATAGCATTTTATTGCATCTACATTTAAAAATTGTTGAATGAGAATTACATCGATTGCCACTTTCTGGTAAGTTTGGTTAAGGTCAAGGTCATGATTTTCTCATGATTCTGTAGATGTAAAATAAAGGTTCACGAGTAGGCCACTATTATGGTTATAATTATATATAATTTTGTATAGGCCTAGACATAGAACAGTGGACTTAAATACTTTATTTGTCCTGGTTGTCAGTTCACAGTAAAGTGATGACATCAGAATACAACTATTCTAAGTTGAACTATAATGTTTTGAGATATATAATTGTCATTAGTCAATGACAGTTGACTATCTTTTTCACTGGTAAAATTAAACCCTTGTCATTCTCAGATTCAACTACTGCATTATATTTAAAGCTAAATAGGCTGGAGTAGTTATACTGTCCCTGTAAAATTTATTTTGATGCACAACACTGTTCACTATGGAAAAAAAATATATATCTAAAGCTTGTCGTAATCACAAGTTTAAAATGCGATATGATCATTGAAATGTGCGCCGGTTTCATGTTCACTGAGTGCGGTTCATGTCATAGCGGTTGTCACTTTGGAGAAAAAAAAAAACATACAAATCATACTTCCTGTGCAGCTCAAAAACGATCGCTCTGTGCTAAAGTAGCGATCATTGGCACACACGTGCACATCCTCTTGGGCACGGCAGGTAGAAAACGGGGCGGGGCGGGCAGCGAGACAACAAATGCTGAATATAAGCGGGATTGATCAGGTTCCGGCTAAAACCTGGCGGGAGCGGGATTCAAAATTTTGTCCTGGGCAGATCTCTACCCTAAGTCACACGCAGGCATGGAAACGCATGCTTGATCAAGGTGACCTGTCCTGAATCGCACTGTACTACAATGTACGGTATCGCTCAGGAGAAACAAGGCATTCACAGATATCTCCATTCTGGATATTTTAGTTTTTCTTAAATGGTCTAGATATCTTTATACGCAGTTATTTAAACTGAAGTTTTCTGTAACCACAATAAAGCTGAACGCAATACCTAGTGTAAAGCATTATTAAAAACCTGTGTTTCCAGTCCTCGAGCTATCTTTCAGACAGAACAGTTTGAATGAGAGTAATGCACGAAAAAAGGCCTAAGCATATGACCTGCCTCAAAGACGCTTGATTGTCTTCTTTGATGGACGAAGCTACTTAAGTGTATAGCGCAACTTGATGCATGCCACCATGATAACTGACAAAGTAAGGATTGAACTTTTGAGATCAGCTCAGGACAACCCAGACATGCTATAGAAATTAGACAAATCTATTTGATTAAAGGTATGCAGAACTTGTGCAATATCTACAGTGCTATGATCAGGTAATTTCTATAGGAATGCACATTGGCTTTGAGCAAGCATTTTTTTTTTTTGCTGAAACGGGTATCGAACAGATGCGACTGATGCAATATTGTGCATGAACTAGCCTATTATGTGGAATTTATAAGCCCTACAAAAGCCACGAAGACATAAGGCACTAGAAAGTGTTCATACACTATGCTCCAAATGTGGGTGGGCGTCACGGTGGTGCAGCGAGTAGCACGATGGAGGTCGCTAGTTCGAGCCTCGGCTAGGTCAGTTGGCATTTCTGTGTGGAGTTTGCATTTTCTCTCTGTGTTGCCGTAGGTTTCTTCCTGGTGCTCCAGTTTGCCCCACAGTCCAAAGACATGCAGTACAGGTGAATTGGGTAAGCTAATTTGTCCATGGTGTATGTTTGTGAATAAGTGAGTATGGATGTTTCCCAGTGATGGGTTGCAGCTGGAAGGGCATCCGCTGCGTAAAACATATGCTGGATAAGTTGGCGGTTCATTCTGCTGTGGTAAGCCCGAATTAAAAAAAGGGACTAAGCCGAGAAGAAAATGAATGAATATTTCAAATGTTCTGAAATCATTACAAGATGGTTTAATATGAACTACAGATGAATGTGGTTAAAATAGTTGAAATTAGGTCAACATTTTGTAAATCAGCTATGACACGGTTTGGTGGCAACCTGTTGGAATGTATAAATTCATAGCTTGAGAGGGTTCAAGAATATTCTGAAACAGGGCTGGGAAAAGGGCTTTTACTTGGTCAATTTCATTGGAAAACATGTAAACACACTGGATTGCCTGCCGTTGGCACTCTGACAGTAAAGTTTTTTTTAATGAACAGGTAGCATTGGAACTGAAGCCGGTACTTTTGACATCCCCGTGTTCAACTAATAATAAATGTTTGAGCACCAAATTAAGATCTCAGAATGATTTTTGCATTTGATTATATGACACTGAAGACTAAAGTAATGGCTGTATATTACCTAGCTTTGCCATGACTAACAAAGTACATTTAAAAACAGATTAATATGCTAAACAATGATTTTGAATTAGAGTAATACTCATTAATATCATTGTTTTACTGTAATTTTTGGTGAAGTAAAAGCAGCCTTGGGGAGCACACGAATTAATGAATGTAGTGCATGTGTAAAGAAAAAAAAACCCATCAATTTGTTAAAGCGGACTTAATTGGAAAGTCATTAATTAGGAGTCCTGTGTCTGCTTGAGCACCTTAACCATTCAGGCATTTCATGCAACTAGGCCCAAGACCTGAAATAAAGGTCAAGAACATGTGACAACAAGCTGAATTGATAATTAGAAATCTTATAAAAATTGACTACACATTGATTTAGACAGTGCTCTTTAAATTGCATTTAACTGCTTACTTAAGCATGAGACAACATTGAACAATTACATCACTGATCATACAGATTAACAATAGATTAAAGTTCAACAAATTTAGCATGATCTATGCAGTAGCATAGATGTTATAAAAATGAAAATACAATAAAAATGCCAAAAAGCATCTCAGGATTAAAATATTATTAACATCAAACCCATTAACATAAAACTATCATGGAATGCCTTTAGAGATTAAGTGAACATCAAGTATGATTAATTTCATTACGTGGGGCAGAAATCAGATTACAGACAGGAGGCATTATAACATATACAATTTTAGTCAAAGGTGCTACTTAAAGTCACCTGCAAATGAAACTGCTCAGCATTTAAGTACATGAGCCTGTCAGTTAAACATTTTCTTCCTAACACACTATAGAGCAATGAGCATCAAGAGTTTACCGGGAGGTCCCGAAGACAAGTCTCTCCCCACACTCATATTCTACACAAAACAAAAAGGCACCAGCGTGCTTTGAACAGAATTTCCTGAAGGATTTACCAGACAGTTGAGGAAGTCTTCTGTCCGATTCTCCGGCTGGGACAGATTCCATGCCATCTGTTTTTGGAGTTTACACGCTATGTTATCTTTCTGCATGTAAAAGCTCGGTCTTAAATAAGTAATGCTGTGTAATAACTGAGTCTTCATGCCAGTCAATGCCTAAGCTGACTCATAACAAGCCCTCACATACAGCACCAAGTGTCTGCTCTAGCCTTGCTAGGCCAATTTTTTTAAAAAAATATCACGCTGCCTTACTATATAAAAGAAAGGCTTTTACATGGCAAAGGAAGCAGCTGTTCACATTCACACACTCACTCTCCCTGACTAACAATGTATGATTGAGGTGTGTACATGCTCACCTGTGCAGTGATTTTGGCGGTGGCGGCCGCAGCTGCTACAGCAGCGGCAGGAGGCAGTCCACCCGGCGTCGCTGGAGTTAGAAGTGGCATGGGAGGTGTGACGGCTTTGCCCACTCGCAGGTACTGGCCCCCTAAGTCAAACAGGTTCATGGAGGACACCGCATCCTGCGCAGACTGGGCCTTATCATATTCTACAGGGGAAACAAGAAAAACTAAGACTCAACGGCCTCCAAGAAGACTCAGCATAAATCTACCAGAGCTCTGAGACAGTTACTGTGTAATTACCAGCGGGTACTTATGGCACAAATGTCCGTAACAGAGCCTAAGAAAACAACGACAACAGAAATAAAAACTTACTATGAAAGCATGTGAGGAACCTGCCCCCACCCTTCTCTATCCCCTGTGAGACATGTAGAGAACAGCATTCTGCCATGACTGACTGCTCTCAGTCAGATACATTTATATTCAACCGAATGGGTGCAGCAGCCGCCCCTCACCTATAAAGCCATAGCCTTTGTGCTTCCCCGTCGTCGGGTCCCTCGCCAGACTGCATGACTTGATTCTTCCGAAGGCCTCGAACACACTCTTGATGTCATCGTCCGACAGGTCCGGATGAACGGATGCCACGTAAATTCGGTTGAAGGCGCGTGCTTCTTCGGCTAGCTGGTCTATGATGGGTTGAGCTTGACCAATGTTGCTCGGTCGGCCCACCTACAAAATAAAACAATATTAGACATCAAGCATATCTAAAGTATTAAAAAAACAGTAAATTATAAATGTATATATATAAAAAATAAAATAAAAAAAAGAGCTCTCACTTTAATGTTTCTACCGCCAAGCATAACGGAGTTCATCTGTTCTAGAGCGAGCTGTGCTGCTTCTGGTACTTCATATTCTACAAATGCGAAACCCTGCAGAAAGAGCATCGTATGGTTAGAAATCCAAAGCACAAAATGTTAACTCCATTATTATTAAAAATGAAAGATGATCATCTGACCTTGTGTTTTAATGTAACAGAGTCCCAGGACATGTCAATGCTTTTAATGGGACCGAAAGGAGCAAAGGCCTGTCTGATGGTGTCTTCTCCTAACTCGTAGTATATGGACCCAACATAAACACGGCACATTATGGCTAGTGCCCGTTGCCTCTGTGCTGCAACCTGTAAAAGCACAACTCAGTTGATTAGACAAGCAGAATAAACAATCATCTTAGACAAAGTTCATCATGATAGGCTTGTTCCAATGATTGAGGATAGAACCAGCAGACATGAAACATGCTGGCACCGAAGACATAGCACTGGCTTCTCTTTACCTCCATACATTACACACATGAGTACTGAACAACTACATGCATGCCAAGAAAGGAGGGCATTTGTGCATTCACAAAAAGTATGAAGACAACTGAGATTACAGCGACAAACTTGTACTTACAGACTGTAGTGGTGAGAGGGGATCTCCAAAACCCATCGTTAACGATGCCATTTGAAGAGAATTAGGCATCTGTCGACAAAAATTAACCCATTTTATCACTGTAATGCAGATTTTAACCATAAGTGGATGTTGTCAGATGACCATTTAGAGGTTTTTTTACTGATATTAAATTATACCAATTCTATCTGATGTAAATGCATGGTTGTCATCAACGCAATTATGTAGTTGGCTTGTGAGTGGCAATGGTTTTTTTCTTCTTCTCAAAGCTAAATTAAATTTATATATATATATATGTTTTCTTTAAATGTATATATCCAACTCTATCATTGCATGTCCTAAAATAGTTTCACCTGTAGGTTGGTGAGCTGTTGCTGCTGATGGGCGATGGTCTGCTTGACCAGGACGCTCTTGATGCTTTGTTCCATGGCATACTTCTTTGCCTACAAATAGGGAGAAATAACATTAACCCACTAAAGCAACCCAGGTGGACAACAAGTGGCATAGGCTTTTCTCTAAAACATTATATAAAAGCAATGACTTCACAAATTCAATCAGAAAATTATATAAACTTTTACTTTTGTGAAATCAAATTCAATTCCATCTTCACAATAATGTACCAGTGATTGAGAATAGTACTAGCAGATAATCGGATGCCACTAGTACCGAAGGCATAGCACTGGCTTTGCTCTTGTCCGCTGCTTGCTTACATGTGCACTGAGCAGACACATGCTTATGAAGTCAAAGGACAGGAAAAAGATTTTCTAGAAAAACCGAAAAGATGAAATACAAAAAAATTGGCTGAAAGAGAAGTTAAACATGCTAACTTTAAAGTTACCAATTAGAACTTTTTAGATACAAGCCCATACTATGGAAAGGTACGGACCCAACTTTAGTACAATTTCTGTAGATCGGTCCTTCACAACACATGCATCGATCTCAAATCAGTTCATTCAGGCATTTTAATTTGATTCGGGAAAATGTTAGAGAAACAAATCAGCCAGAGATCTGTTATCAAGATCAAATGATCTAGGATCTGATAAATCATATTTTAACTGAGGATAAAAAAAATTAACCCCAAATCTCAGACAATAAGGGCTTAATTTTAGGGCGCTTCAATATATCCATTACTTAATTTAATGTACATTCATTATTATAAGCTATTCATGATTACAAAAAGACAAAATTTAGTAGTCAAGAGATACGCAAATCTCATTCACTCTTCATGCAGAATAAATTGTTAACAACATATTAACTTGCTTTCTGAAAAAAGTGTGATCCTTGTAAGGTTGGGGAATGTCACAACACAAAAGATGCTTGATTCCTCCACCCATGTGCATCAGAAATTAGAATGAAAGTCTCACCTTCTGTAGCGCCTCTTGCTGTTCGGGAGTGAGGGGTGGCAGGCCGAGCTTCGAGGCCGTGCTCTGTCCATTCTCCATCATCAGAGCCTCACCTCCCTGCACAGAGCACAGGCATCTGTCAGACCTGATGAATGTGAGCTGCAGCGAAACTGCTCAAGACACACACACACACACAGGACTGCAATACACACAGGACAACTTCCTTAAAGCTTAACCACCATCCAGTTTAAGAGCAAATTCAAATGACAGTTAAATTGTTCATCAGGATTATTATTCTCCAAAGCTATGACATGAATTATGTAAACAATTAAACATTTCAAATATTAATATTTAAATTACAATTGATTTCAAGTCATTTAAGGCTTGCTCTAAAACTTCTTTCTGGATTTTGGCACATTGACAACTTTTATTTAACATAGTATGGCTTGCTATAAAGAATTTACACTAAATTAAAAGGATGCTGATTATGAAATGATTTGGTATGCATTCAATTAACAGGCTCCACAACATGGTAAAGGGGAACCATGCATTCATACCACATGGTGACTTCACCCCTCAGTGGAAACAAACACTTGATTCTGTGGGTCACTGGAGGACCATATAACCTCAAAGTGCATATGCTAAAGCAAGTGAGCCTTTTTAAATTCAATACTACACAAGAGAAAACTTTAGTACCTTTGCTCAAATGAACTCCAGAGTGATGCACTGTCCCCCCCTTAAGGAGGTTTGAACCCAAAAGGTTCTGCCATTGGCTTTGGAAATTTAGTACAGTCAAGAGATATGCTCTACAGCACAGACAACACAGAGAGAAACGACAAAAAAGAAAAAAAGAAAAGAAAAAACACAAACCTACTTAGATCAAGAGAACTGGATAGGGAGACAACAATTTGAGATCATTGACATCCAAATCCAGGTGGAAAACGTTGGGTCTAACATTAAGGACAGGAAGCCCTCGTTTGAACACTTTTAGTACAGAGAAATGTGGTGCCAATGATACATGAATGAAGAATTCAGCCAAAAATGAAAATGGTCTTTTAAAACCCATTCACACCAAAAACTACATGTAAAGCGTTATGAAGTCTGAACTAATAGCTGAAATCAAGAACAAATTTTTTGCAGATGATGAATGATACAAGCATCAGCAGTTCAAAATTAAAACTTAAACTCTAAAGTGGCAGTAGCTGCAATATTTTTATACATATTTTTAAAGCATGTTGGTGTACATATAGTTCTTGGTGCGAGTAAGCATTTACTTGTGTTGTTCCAATTTCCAAACATGTGATTTTGTTTTTAAGAGTAATTGCAAGATTTTCACTGAATGACTTTTCTAATTTGTTTTGATTCAGAGGATTACTTCTGCATTGGGCTTTTTTGAAAGCAGGTGCAATAATAGAATGTAAACTAATTTTTTCTTGATTTCCTCTTCAGGCACCTAAATATGATGTGAAAAATGACTTCAATAACCATTTTTTTTGTTTGTTTTTACTTAACATCAATTTATTTTATGTTTAATGAAGCAATGGATGAATGACCTGCATGGGAGTTCTCCAATTTTTGTTGAAATTAAACACTGAAGAGCCATCTGGTAATTAAACCAAAAAGCATTACATAGATTATTAGAAGAAAAAAAATAAAATAAAATAGTATATATATATATATATAAAAAATGTAGTTTAGATTGACAAGTAATAAAAGTCTTTGAATAGTTGTCTTGTAGATACACAAGTTTGTGTACAGTAATCCCTCACTATAACATGGCCTGCTTTTCGTGGTTTCGCAGATTTTTTGTTTGTGCAATGACATTTTTTTTTCTACAGCGCATTGTGTTTGCATCCTGATTGGCTGTAGACCAGTCAATCAACATCCTCTGTGCCGTGTCTCCTGTACAGTACAGAATGCTCTCAGCCTGCCAAATTTACAGAAACCTTAGATCGCTAGCCATGTGATTCTGAAGTGCTGGACTGAATGTTTGCAAGTTTTCTCCACACAATGTCGACGAAACGTTCTGCACTGTCAAAGGAACCTGTGGTAGCACCCAAAAGGTAGAGGAAGATGCTAACCAACGCACAAAAAAATTGCTAAAGGAAGGTAGAAGTTACGCAGGTGTAGGGCGACATTAAAGAAAAGATGAAGAACAAATGTTTTTTTTTTTTATCTTTGGTTTCATTTTATAATATCGCCTGTCTGAGAAAAGATAAATATTGTTTAAATAGTTTTTTTTAATAACATGTTTATGTTTTAATCTTTAATAAATAATCTAAACCTGCTATGTGACTATTGCAGAGACACACACTGCGATATCAATGCTCAAACTATATAGTTCAGCCCTAATTTTTACAGTTTAGTACAGACACATATTAAAATCCAATATACACTAACAGATTTTTTTGTTTTAAAAAAACAGTACTCTATTTTATTTCCATGACTGAAATCTACAAGTCGCTCCATGTTTTCTGCTAAACCAAAATAATTGAGAAAAGCATTTCAGCTAATAAATGCAGTTGTTTGGAACATCTGGCTCAGTACATTTTCATTTCTGCTGAACTCTTACTTTAAAATAATGAAAACAATTTCCCCAAACATGAATATTAGTGCAAAAACACATACATTTTTCAATTCCATCCAAAAATAACAGGACGAGAGCTACCAGGATAGTACAACAGTTCTGGATGGCAAATAATGGTGAACATAATGAAAAGATGTTTGTCATGTAATGACTATGCAAAACTATTTACAGCACTGACATTTTATGATATTTATTATACACATACTAAATTAGGGCAATTCATGAAAAAAGTGCAGGTTGCTTAATGCAATCTACTGTTTGTCAAACATGTGTAATAACTAAGGTAAATGATACTCAAAAGTACTTGGCAACCCCCTTTTATAACAAAGGGGAAGTGTAATTTCGGGGTAAGCAGTTGATAAACCCCTTACCTAGCGCCTGCTCTCCGCTGGGCTGTCTTATATATTGGGAGCTTTTACTGTTCAAAACAGAGTCTATAAAGAAAGAGAGAGGTTTCAGTAAACTCGTTAGACTGCGTTCATTTCCCACCATTGCAGCTTACTTTTCATGTTATGGTATTGGTGTTGGTGTTTTTTAATAGGTAGGAGTTTTAGGTGCTGGTAATCTAATTGAACTCTTCACGCGGTCTTTATTGACTCTAAACAGATTTCATATTATGAATAATCACATAAACGTTACATCTAAAGGTTTAAATGCAGCATTGAATGAAAGCTTTACGAGTCTCCCCCTCCCAAACGTTCTTACCGTCCACACGGCCTTATGTAACGTCGGTTAAAATTATCTATAAATTGGAGCAAATAAACTCTTTCAAGTGCAAATAACAACTGGAAGCAAAATCCAAATAGCTCAAACTCTTTCGACAAGAGCATTTCGTTCGTACTGGGCCTTGCAGCAGGGAAGCGGATTCAGCTCATGTAAGTTAGGACAATGTGAATGTGAAAACGTTAGCTCGTGTAGCGGGTACAGAAACAGAGTAAACGCGAAAGTTTAAATTACCATCCTCGCAATAACCCGTTAAAAGGACTCTGATGGTTAAACTATTATCCATCAGAGGCGAGTAAGTCGGTCGAACATTAGCATTAAATCACAGTGGATGTAAAGAAGCACGCAGCGGCTGCAGCAGGCCGAGAGGAAAATCCCGCTCGGGTGCGCTAAGCTAGTTAGCAATTCCACTGTTCATCTAGCTGTTTGAAATGAAACCTCTGACAGGAAACATTGCTACATGTGCATGTGATAATGCTGTTTAACTATAAAGGGAAAATTTGAGAAAAATATTACATTTACCGCCGAAACAGCGACCGCCATTGAGCACACCTTCCAGCACTAACGTCCACACGGTGAGGAAGACTATGAAATCTCGCGATAATATCGATGGAGAGAAAAAAGAGTTGGGTAAAAGACGCGCAGCTGCAGTGCAGACGTTCTGATTGCAGGAGAAACACACAAGTCTGATAAAAAAACGTGCAAATATATATAGGCAGAGATGGCAACAATACACATCCTTTTATTAAGTAAAAGTACAGATACTCATGTTTAAAACGTAAAAGTCGAATTATTGACTACACTTTTGTACTTGAGTAAAAGTAAAGAAGTACAGCCTGAATATATATATATTATTATTATTATTATTATTATTATTAACAGTGAATTTGTGTACAAATACGATCTCATTAAATATTTTAACATAAAACTGCAAAATTGGTGGCGCAATGGGTAGCGATGTTGCCTCACAGCAAAAAGGTCACTGGTTCAAGCCTCGGCTAGGTCAGTTGGCAATTCTGTGTGGAGTTTGCATTTTCTCCCTGTGTTGACATGGGTTTCCTCCAGGTGGTTCGGTTTCCCCCACAGTCCAGACATGCGCTACTGGTGAATTGGGTAAGCTAAATTGTCCATAGTGTATGTGTGTGAATGAGTGTGAATGCATTTTTCCCAGTACTGGGTTGCAGCTGGAAGGGCATCCGCTGCTTAAAACATATGCTGGATAAGTTGGCGGTTCATTCTGCTGTGGTGACCCCAGATTAATAAAGGGACAAGTCGAAAAGAAAATGAATGAATGAGAGAATGAAAATTGTAATATTTTGGTTATTGGTTGTTATACTAATGTATTTGGTTATTAAATAATTTTAAGGAGTTTATCATATAACAATGCTAGAACAGCAAAACAGCTATTACTGTAAATGTACAATCAATTTAATAGCAAAATGCTTATAAAATGCCAATATATAGTAAATGTAGAACTTTTACAGCATGTGACGTTATACATTCATTCATTTTTGGCTGAGTCCCTTTATTAATCTGGGGTCGCCACAAGGGAATGAACCGCCAACTTATCCAGCATTTGTTTTACGCAACAGATGCCCTTCCAGCTGCAACCCATCACAGGGAATTATTGTTATACAGTGCTCAGAATATATAGGTAGACCCCTCACAAATCTCTCTTTTAAAATCATATTTTAAATAGGATGCTATACATTATTATATGTGTGCATTAGATTAGTCAGCACTGAAGCCAAATCTGGAGCTTGTCTAACAAAATAACATAAGATAACGGTCCAAAAACTAGTACACCCAAATGTATATGTTATAGTAAAATAATAATAAACGTTTAAAAAAAAAAAAGAAAAATCAAGAAGTAAAAAAAAAATAAGAAAAAAAGAAAAAAAACTGAGTTGATATTTTGTAGGTTGTAATTTTGTTCTGCAATATCTTTCTTAAATTTAATCGTATTATCTTTCAATTTCTAAATATGATTGGTGACTAAAGTATAATTTTAATAAATATATCTATTTAATAAATCCGTTTCGTTTAAATGCACCAAAATACATTTCCTATATTCACTGACAAATGGATGAAACATTCATTTTCAAAATGGGGTGTGATCAATTATGCTGAGCACTGCATATGCACTATATACTAGACATTTGCTATAATACAAAAGAAATGCATTCAGTCATATTAAAGTATTCATTATATATTTTAATGTTATAGTATTTCATGTCACAGTATACAGTTTCAACACAATAAAAATATAATAAAATAAAGTAAAACTGCCCAAAGCAAAGGTCATATTCATTCAGATGAGAAAGGACACCAGGAATTAGGAAGAGTATATTTTAACATCTCACTGTACATTCATCTCTTGTATCTACAAACAAACATACATACATACGCATACATACATTACATTGCAAGACATTTGAGTCTCATAATAACACTGGGAAGATGAACTGCTTTTTCATGTCAATCATTTGAATCTGTAAGAATGAATGGAGATAATATATCTCTTTTAATAGTTAAAAAAAGCTGCAATACATCCATCGCAAAACCATGCCAATATAACATAAAAATATATAATTCCAAGCATTCGTTTTCTGACATGCACATATATTCTGAAGCCAAGAGATGCTGGGAAGTCAAAGCCATTAGAGTACAGTACTGAAAGCATCTCTAAAATTGATACTATTGCTTCGGAAGGCAATGGCAATATGGATGGTTTCACAGAACGAACACTGTTGTAATTATGCAATCTAAAACAGCGTTGATCAACAACAAGATGTTATATTTGCTATATAGTATCCACACTTGCCAGCGCTGCACCCAGTACATCTTTGGCCTTGACACAGTTCAAGTTCTCATACGCAGAATACATACAATGTAGTGTATGAATCATATTGTGCATGACATAAAAATGTGCGCATACTGTGGTAGATGTCAGACAGCCCTTCACACCCAAATGAGGGATTTATTAAAGTAAACCTTGCTTCTTCTAAGTCAGTCAACGATCAGTTTATTGTATGCAGTGTAAAAGACAAAGAAAAGCAAACTTGGCCCATATACTGTGTTAAACACCTTTGAGCAGTCAGCCTATTTAGGACCAGCTCATATTCACATTAAAAAGGCAATTAAAAACATCTCATGTCAATCATGTCCACACTGGTACACTGACCATGATTAATTGTTTGCATCAAGTTGCTTTAGTTAAAAATATCTGATTTGGAAAGCTAGTAATTAGAATCAGTTTCTTCATAAAATAAAAACCAGATGCTTTATTAATTAAAACTGAGCAAATATCAGATCGAACATTTGTGTACACTTGACATAAGTATGATGTTAAATATAAAAAAGTCTAAGCAAAATCTTTTAGATTGCATTTACTTGAAGTGATATTCAGGAATTTTGTTAGAATTCAAAATAGCTGTTAAAAAGTCGTTGATTTTGCTGAATTAACACTGAATTAACTGATTTCACACTCAAAAAATTCCTATTTGGTGCTCAAGAAGTGTTTCTACCTAGAATCATTGATAAAAAAGTTAAGTTGCTCTATATGCACTCAGATATAAAGGTATAAAATCTGTCACTGGGGTGGTACTATTTCAAAAGGTAGACTTTTGTACCATAGAGGTGGATACTAGTACCTTTGGGTTACACTTTTGTACCTTCAAGTTAATAAAAGATACACATTTGAACTTTTGGGGTATTAAAATGTACCTTTAAGGAACTATTACACTGTAAATAATGCAGATTTCCACATAATTCATTCATGCTGACCCAACACAAATCAACTAAGTTTAGCTTAAAACTTTTAACAAATTTGTTGATTGTTCATAAATAATAAAGTTGTCCCAATGAATTTAAAAATGATACAGCTTAATAAAATGGGAATGGCTGGTGATATTAATGTCATGTTTGAGGCATATTAGTATATGTGAAGGGGCTTGTAAATAACTCATGAAAGAATAAAGTAACGTTAAAACCAAGCACATCATTGTTTTTCTTGTGAAATTCCCAATAAGTTTTATAAGGTGTATCCATATAAATGGCCCAGCCTGTATATTTTGAGTGTAGGAACAAAAATGTACCTTTTGAAAAGGTACTGCCCCAGTGACAGATTTTGTACCTTTATTTCTGAGTGTCTCTTTGTGAAAACCATGATATTTTAAGCATTAATAGAACGTTCATAAGAACAGCATTTGGAAATATGATTCGTTTTACAAATCTAAGTCCATAATATCAGTTTTGATCAATCTAATAAGTCTTTGTTGGATAAAAGTCTCACTTAAAAAAGAAAATCATACTGACTCCAAATGTTAGTGAGCTAAACCATTCTAGGATATGGCTATTGCCATGGTTTACAAACATAATGCAAAGTTCATTAGCATCTGTATGAAAAACAAACATTTGAGATCAACATAGCTTCACTGTAGAGACATTTTAAACTCTGTAAGATTAAGAGCAAGACATCATTTAAAAATGTAAGGTCTTACAAATAGTTGAAGTAGAGATCTATTAGTTTACCGGGCACCAAGAGCACTTTTGTCATAGTATCATACATTCGTTTGCTCAAAGCCAGCTTGTTAAAACATACAAAAGATAATCTAAAAAAAAGTAGAACTAAATATTTTGATACATTTTCTTGCTTGAAACTTACAACATGTAAAGCAAGACCATGTAATCAAGTTTTAAAAGAATAAATAATAATACATTTAAGTCTGGAACAAATGATCCAGTCATATTGCCTGATGGAAGCAGCAATCATTTCTTATACATTTAGCCTCTGTCAAAACTCTGTCATTCATTTTGTGAGATTCTGTCCTTTGCTAGATGAGCCTGGATGAAGCCATAAGCATGACGACCTGAAGGGATGTTTTTAAAATTCTTGAAAGAACAAAATAATAATAATAATAATTCACAACCCAAAATGCTGGCACTGAAAGAGGAAATGTAATGTTGGAAAATGCATTTCTTTGTCATGGTGAGATGACAGCAGAAATTTGAACTTCAAGATCCAGGTTAACAGCTCTTTGGAGTTTGTGCAGGTACCATGCGGTGTGGTGCAAGCTTCTTTTTTTTCCAGGCCCGCTGCTCACTTTAAAGCCATCTTGTCATGACCTTCATTATATAATGGTGTGCTTTTGGTCACATTTCCCTCCTGTCAGACTAGATCTCTGACCCAAACTTCAAGCTTTGTTTGTCTATTATTATACCAGCTGGGCTTTAGTACATCACAGCCATGGCAGTAGGGGAGGTGGATGTCCCCGACCAGTGCTTACATAACGCATCCTCAAGAAAACATGCCAGCTTCTCACAGTCTTCCTGCAAGACACAAAAGCAACACAACCGCAATCAAACACTGCAGAACTGTACAATTTATTGAAGGGACACTAAATATTCTGGCATCAAACCAACTTGAGTTTTTTGTTCTGTTGAACACACAAGAAGATATTTTGAAGAATGTTGTAAACCATTGACGATTGACATCAACATTAGAAAAAACCAATACTAAGACTGTCAACGGTTACCGGTTTACAAAATGATTCAGTATATCTTTTTAGTGTTCAACAAAACAAAGAAACTCAAACAGGTTTGGAAGAAGTGAAGGGTGAGTAAATTATGATAGAGTTTTCATTTTTGGGTGAACTATCTTTAAGACATTTGAAGTGACAGTTCATCCAAAAAAGAATATTCTGTCATCATTTACTCACCCTTAGCTTGCTACAAACCTTTATGGGTTTCTTTTCTTCTGGTAAACACCAAAGACATTTTAAAGAAAGCTGAAAACAGGCAACAATTCACTTCCATAGTATTTGTTTTTCTTACTATGGAAGTCAATTGTTACATGTTTTCAGCTTTTTTCTAAATATCTTCTTAATTATTTACCAGAATAAAGAAACTCAAAGGTTTGCAACCACTTCAGGAAGAGTAAATGGTAAGCACATTGTCTTTTCTTGTAGGCGAACTGTCCCTTTAAGACTCAACTATCTACTAACTACTATACAAGAATCAGTGATGTGACATCAAATTGAGTTGTGGCTTGCTTACTAGGGGACTAAAGGCAGAGCAGTGACAACAGAAACTTTGGGGTTTGTCAAGTCAATGTGACACCCTTATTGACATTAGTCAGCGCACATATTTTGGAATTTGTAAGGTTGGCTAAGAACTGACCAACTGTAGTCTGGTGACTGTCTGCATTAATGTAATGTAATGTGTATTTATATAGCGCATTTATTGTTTATGGCCATACACCCAAAGCAGTTCACAATCATGGGGGGGGTCACCACACACCAGCTATTGATGGAGTGGAGAGACAGTGATAGAGCCAATTCGGTGGAAGGGGATGATTGGGAGGCCATGATCGTAAGGCCGATAGAGGGACTTTGGCCCGGACACCAGGGTTACACCCCTGCTCTTTCACGAGAAGTGCCATGGGATTTTTAATGACCACAGAGAGTCAAGACCGCGGTTTAACGTCTCATCCGAAAGACGGCGCCCACTGAAAGTGTAGAGTCCCCTTCACTTTTACTGAGGCATTAGGACTCCCACAGACCACAGTTTGAGCGCCCCCTGCTGGCCTCACTAACACCCCTTCCAACAGCAACCTAGTGTTCCCAAGTGGTCTCCCATCCAGGTACTGACCAGGCTCAGCCCTGCTTAGCTTCAGTGAGTAACCGGTCTTGGGCTGCAGGGTGATATGGCTGTGGCATTAAGCTGTTTGTAAATGGCATGACCTTCAATTAAATCCTTAAACTGGATAGAGTCGTGTGATAGTGAAATGTTAACTGATGTTTACATGCATCATTTAGCAGTGAGAGCGATACACATCAGTTAATGGTACGTAAGCTTGTGACTGTTCAAAATAGTCACAAAATATATTCAAAGTTGAATAGGAGTTACAGGAAAGAAGCAATTTTCAATTATAACAAGATAATCCAGCTTTAAATCTAAAAAAAATAGTTTCTGTTTATTATAAAAACATAATATTTATGCTACTTTTCTTCAAACAACTAGGTTTAGTAATTGCGTGTCCTTTTACATATTTTAAAGATAACCATATTCAGTAAAAACACACCTTTATCCATAAATATTATATACCAATAAAGTTAAACATGCAATGTGAATTGATTCATATTTTACACAGTTCATAAAACAATTCAACTGTAAAGCTGATCTTTTATAAAAAGTACTATACAAATGAAATTGACTTGACTATTATATTCATGTATAAAACAAAAGATCTCATGCTTACCTCGCTTATGAAAGCATGGTGAACCAACTCACTAGCCAAATCTTTGGGACTGTCAGCTGGAAATAACAAACAAACACAACTTTAAATGTTCTTTCAAGATTTATATTTGACAGTCCAATTTTAATGCATTCTTGACAGATTTGCCTCATATTTAAATGTGCAGTAATTACTTGCCTAAAGTGTTTTATCAAAAAATAAACACCAAGAACATAATTGAATGTGTGAACATTGACTTACATGGCAAAACATCACAGCTAAGCTGGCGGTGAAGCCTGTCATCCATCTTTAAAAACAGAGAGAGCTAAAAAGACAGGAAAAAAGACAGATGATGCACAATGTTCACAGACTATTTACTTTTAAAGGAATGAACTCCCTAACTGCATCGGAACGGCAGAGACACTCGCTGTTTTCAAGAAACAACTAAAAACTCAACTATTTAGTCTCCACTTCACTTCCTAATCTGCAACTGCCTCTCTGTATACACCACTAACTGTACTCAAAAAAAAAATTACTAATGCTTTCCTTCTTAGACTTCACAGACCTGAAACTTGCCTATAGCACTTATTCATTGTTGCTCTTATAGTTGTGTAAATTGCTTCCTTGTCCTCATTTGTAAGTCGCTTTGGATAAAAGTGTCTGCTAAATGACTAAATGTAAATGTAAATGTAAAAGGCACCTATGATGTAAATCAACTTTTGTAAGCTGTCTGGACAGAACTTTGTGTAGGTGTTATATGTCCACAGTCATATTGGAGTGATACAAACACAAGTCCTTTTTTTTATTTTTTATTTCCTGATGTTCAAATAGGACACAAATCCTAGTGATTTCGAGGCCCACTGCAACATGACGTAGGAGTGGGGTTTTCCCCGCCTACCGAAGTGATTTACAAGACGCCATGTTTCTGTAATAACATGTAAACACATGTCCACAGAACATTTCATTGCAAATAAAGTGAGATTAAAATATCACAACTCTCTGTGGTTTTTATAAGTTCTATAATTTTAAACCATTTTTAAAACAGAGCATGTTTGTGGTAAAAAAAGTAAAATTAACATGTAATTCTTAACAGCTATAATCACCACGACCACATGGTGTCAGTAAATGCTAATATATGTGCGTGTATGGCAAACTGCATTTGTGTGTGACTCATCATTTTAAAAAGGCTTGATTAACTTCCACCACAAATACATGAAAAACGTACTTGGTATTTTTGACTAATGAGCTGTATTTCAGCTTTAATCGAGTCTGTCTCTATCACTGACTGCTGTTTATCTGATGTAATGCAGGAGAAGCAGACATGCACATGGGAATGGTGGGCAGGGAGAAGCAGCTAATTTGCATTTAAAGCCACAGGCTACAAAATAAAGCTACACTCTACTCAGACAAAATAGGCAGATTCTTTAGGCTATTATGAATTATCTTATCTTACATCTTGTAAAAGGGGTAAAAAAGGTGCCCTTTCAGCTAAACTACAAATGAGACTTACATGACTCCTTGTGCCTTCCTCAGTTGCTTCCAAATTACAGTGGATCTGGACAACCTATGCGAAAAAACAAGGATTTTACTCCTAACTGTTGTGATTCAAGTTTCACCAGGTTTTAAACATGAACAAGTCTTTTTTTTTTTTTTTTAAATGACAGAAAGTTACTTATACATGCTTTGTATTTAGAGGAATGCACTGATCACTATTTCTGGGAAATGTTTAAAGTGTCAGCTTAAACTAATCATTGTTCTTCAGATTTTAACAGACTTCTCATTGGTTTGTTAGATTAGCAAATATTTAGTATTAAAAAAACAATGTTTAAAATGAATTGCGATTCTGAGCTGTGTGAATGTACAGATCTCTTGCGGTTTTTTCTAACCTTTCTGGTTTCGGTCTCTTGTGGCTCTGGCGTTGGGGTCTTCACAGTCTCCATCTGTTCCTGTGACAGAGAAAGAGCGCGGGGGATAGGATGTGGCCGCTGGGAAGCAAAGTTCATCAGGGGATATATACCGTTCCTGTTCATGTGGGAGCAAAGGTTTTAAAATGCAGAAGCATGGAAACAAAAAGAGTCTAACTGTAAAATCAGTTGATCTTCTCCATCACTCACTTCACATCCTCAAGGAATTTGTCCAGCTCCAGAGGAGAGACGTGAGAGTATCTAAGAAAAAAAAACATGAAGGATGTCAGAGAAAAATAGGAAGCAATCAGCGGGTGAGTTTTAATCTGCACCCTTGCTCAGTAGTCAGTGCACTGATTTTGCATTGATGCCATTTTAAGTGCCATCAAATTCTTCCAGTGACCTGAAAAATCCCACAATGCACAGTGAAAATCCAGGTGCAGGCATTATGTGCCCTTAACGTAAGTTTGGAAAAGCGAAATATGAATCACATGACCAAAATCATCAAATGTAATGACATACAAGACAAGATTTTCTAAAAAGAATAAGTTATTTATTTATTTTTAACATGAACGAACACAACTAAATCTAAATCTAGCAAACATTTATAATTGTTTAATGGTTGAAATGATAATGATAATCGAATAATTGTTAAAAATAATCAAATTTTTTAGCTATAATGTACTAATAAAACTTTAATATACGAGCAATTCCAGCATTATGGATGTGACATTTACAGTACAAACATAAATTCACAGAGAAAGTATTCGGTAACAATATATTGAATTATATTATATTTTCCAAAACAGCTCAAAGTTATCAGAAAAATATTAATTTGTAAACATTTTTAAAATTTAAATGAGGAAAATAAACATGCATTATGGTTGTGACCAAAATAAGTATGTAAGTTTGCAATATACAACATACTTTGTAGAAATTAAATTAAACTGCACAACCAAAAAAACAATAATGCTAATCAAAAGGACAACAGTTGCCTCACTATAGAACAAACACGATTGATTCTATTTTATGTTACATTAATGATGAAAAAACATTGTTATGGATGCGATATCTCTCCGTTCTGGATGTGACAGGTGTAAAATCGCCACTTGTGTGAATGGTAAATCAAATATAATTGTTTGAAAACATTGACAGAGGCATTTTTGTGAAAGAGTTTTGGTATTTTGGTGAAAACATTTTTTTTTTATGGCAAGTTTGTCATTTGTATGGAATTGCTCATATATGAATACCATTAATTCTGCTGTTGTTCACAATCTCCATTTTTGATGATGCATGATGAGGACGTTCTCAGCGTGTCCCAATGGGTAGTGAACCAAGCTCATCCCTGTCCTTACTAGAACCCAAATTCATGCACGTGACCTACTGATTAAGAACCTTGAAATCTATGGTTGCTGATTGAGACGCAGCAAGATTTAGTTTGAGAAACTTACTTTAGATGAACTCCAGGTCGATTGCGATGATTAATCTCTGCCATGATGCCATTGGGGTCATAAGATTTTGTCTTCTCTTCCACGCAGTTCTCAGGGAGAAGATCTGAAAAACACATAAAATATAAATTCAACTGAAGAAATTTTGCTACATGTAAAAGTGTGTGTGACAAATAAAGGCTTCATCAACATCAAATATCAAACTACACATTGGTTTTTGCATTAATGGGTCAGGCTTAACAGTTCTGCTTTGTCGAAGAACAAAATTAAAGGAATGCTATGAGGGAAATAGCCTATAAGTTTAAACAAGAGTGTTTTCCTATGTCCACTTACACTGGTTATTGATAAAGCAGTGCGCAGCAAGCAGCTTTAAGGAGTGCACCTCAAATAACACCCGGTGGAAGAGCAGATCGTGAGCGGTAGGCCGTGATTTGGCTTCTGTGCGTACACATGACTGAATAAATTCCTGTCAGTGTAAAGAGACAAGAGTGTTAGATTAAATAATTCAGCAGAGTATTAATTATAAACGTGCTTTAAGTGTTTTACCCTCATTAGAGGGTCTTCAAGTGACTGTCCAGCATAATCAATGGCCTCTTTCGCAACAGCAGTGTCTCCATTGGCCTGGATTTCCAACACTGCCATCTAAAGGTAAAGGAGAAACATGAAATGAAAATGCCATGCTGTTAAATGTTGATATGTTGGAATTGATACATTTGCTTTTTTTTAGATTATTCAATTAGTTTACAAACCTCCAAGCCACAGATACCGAATGAAAATATATCAATTGCGTAGTTATCTTCAGCAACTGGAAAAAGAGAGAGAAAACGAAAGAGACGGTAATGTCATTAAACTTTTTCTAGACTATCAGACCACAAATATACATGTATATGGGTCAAAGACTAGACTTACTATTTTGTTGTTTGCATCAAACACAATTAGCAAAATTGAAGAAAAAAAAATAATGATACATTTTAAAAATGAAAATATTAAAATATGGGAAAAATAATGATTCATTCAGTAAAAACAAACTATATAATCTGAAACAATATACTTTTTTATAGTATATTTTATATATAGTTGTATTTACTATCTATCTATCTATCTATCTATCTATCTATCTATATATATATATATATATATATATATATATATATATATATATATATATATATATATATATATATAAAGCAAGAAATTAAAATAAAATGAACTATGCCATATTTATTCAATTGGTTAAAGCTAATTGGTTTGAATGATAGAAGCAAAGGTATAAATATTTAACATGGTGCTTATATATAGATTCACATGTAGTCAGAATTATTAGCCCTCATTTGAATTTATTTTCTTTTTTAAATATTTCCCAAATGATGTTTAACAGAGCAAGGAAATTTTCACAGTATGTCTGATAATATTTTTTTCTTCAGGAAAATTTATTTTATTTCGGCTAGAAGGAAAGCAGTTTTTAATTTTTAATAAACATTTTAAGTTAAAAATTATTAGCTCCTTTAGGCTATATTTTTTATTCGATAGTCTTCAGAACAAACCCTCGTTATACAATAACTTGTCAAATTACCCTAACCTTCCTAGTTAACCTATTGTCTAACCTGTATGTAAGTGTCTTGAACAATATCTAGTCAAATGTTATTTACTGTCATCATGGCAAAGATAAAATAAATCAGTTATTAGAAATGAGTTATTAAAACTATTATGATTAGAAATGTGTTGAAAAAAAATCTCTCTGTTAAAAATTTATTTGGGGAAAAATAAACAGGAGGGCAAATAATTCTGACTTCAACTGTAAAAAGACAATATTTGAGACTTGTACTATGTATAAAATTATGTATAAGACTTAGATCATAAAAATGATCAATATACTTTTGTCCAGAAATAATAACATTTAACAGCTCCTATTCCACTGTACAAAAGGCAGTATTATACCTTTACTGTATTTATGCTTGAAAACCTCCTTCTGAATAAAACTGTTACAGACATCAGATACTCACTGCCATACTCTGGTGCAAAGAAATGCTGGTTCCGCACTTCATCTCGATGCTGATGCACATTCCCATGAATCGCCTCAGCAAATACTGAAGGAAAGGCAAAAAACACAACATTTACACTCTATTTATAACATTAAGTGGCTAAAAGAATTATGGCCAGTAAACATACATAAATAAGATCTCCAGCACATGGGTAGGAGTCCAACATAAATAGTCTGAAGGGGGAATTGGGCTTATTTTCTTTATTTATGTCTTGGACTGTAAAGGCTGACAAGAAACTCTACAGTACATTACATAACCGCCATGATTCTGAGCCAAAATATGCAAAGCATTGTGTAAGGAAGGAAGGAAAAGAAACAGTCTAAGTCCAGTCTGTGTTTTCTGAACAGATAACCACATTCCTGTGCACATGGCATATAGAGCTGGAAATGGACTCACCGTTAACAAACAGCCTGTGCCACACTGTAAACGAAACAAATTGTATAAATGTCTACTTGAAGCAAATAATAAATGTCAGAAATGTTCAGAAGTGAAATGATTAAGTTAAAGCCTAAAAGGAAAGATTAAAAGACCACTGTCATACCTGAACCAATCTTTATGAGGCCGTTGTGCTGGATAAAGATGGTGTCACAGGTCAGGTTCCCATGGATGATGGGAGGATCACATGAGTGTAAATAACTAAAGAGAAATGAAACATTTTTTCCATACAAATAAACTTTTAATTAACAATAACATAAAATATGTTTGTGTTTCTATTTAAAATAGCAAATTTTAATAATAAAAGAAAAAAGTTTGGTAATACTTTATTTTGATGGTCCCTATTGCACATTTTGTTGACTAGAAGTTGCATTGCAACTACAAACCAATTAATTTTCATTTGATTAATAGGACTGTCTGCTTAATATCTGCCCCTTCAACAGACATTTAACTGACTATAGGAAACTCAAGTACATGTTAAACTTACACTAACCCCAACCTAACAGTCTACTTATAATCTAATGAGAATTAGTAGGCATGTAGATGCAATGTAACTTAAATTCAACAAAATGCATTAAAGGGACCATCAAAATAAGGTGATATCAAATCGGAAATGCAGCATATACACACACACAGACACACAAACAAACACAATTTATAGCTATGTGTTGGAGTAAAAATTGAAATGTTTTCTGTTTTTGAATAAAATAACAAAAAATGGGTCTTTTTATCATGTTTATGAAATCAAGGCACCTTGAACACAAAACCATTTTTCAACATTAACAGAGTTCAATAAGAGAAATCAATATTAGGTGAAATAGCCCTGATCACAACAAATAATAAAATATTTATTATTTATTTTTTTTGCTGTAAATGGCAATATTTTATTTGAAATTTGGAAAAAAATACGTTAAAAGCCAGACTTTATAGAATAAAACAAAACTAACATTTTACTCAAACCCATACCTAATATCCAGAGAATGTTCAAGTGGTCTCTTAGTTTTTTCTATAGCCATATCCACTACTGGTCAAAAGTTTGGGATCAGTACTAATTTTAAATGTTTTCAAATAAGCTTATCCTATTTACCAAGGCTGCATTAATTTAATCAAAAATACAGTAAAAATTGTGAAATATTATTGCACTATAAAATACCTGTTCAAATTTAGTTTATAATTTTATTTAATAATTTATTCCATTGATTTTAAAGATGAAATTTTAGCTTCATTACTCAGCTTTAGCTTCAGAGTCACATGATGGTTTAGAAATAACCCTATTATTAATTTTTATTAATGTAATAGTAATAAAAGCAATTATGACTGGAGTAATGATTTCATTTGAAACGACATACAATAAGAAATAAATAAATATTTAATAAATAAGTATTTGACAATGTAACATTTTTTTAAACATTTAATAAAAGCCGCCTTGAGGAACAGAATAATTTGATTAAAATTGCTAAATAAAAATAATAATAATAATTTAAAAAAACGGACTCCAAACTTTTGACTGGTAGTGTACATCAAATATGGGTTTAAATTTGTCATTTAGATTTTCCCTCAAGAAAATGTCAATTAGTCAGAATTATTTTGTTCTATTGTGATTCAAAATCAGGGTCATTCACCAAATACTGTTTTCTTAACTCTCAAAATAAATATAAATATAAGTATAAATGATTTACACACATTTAATTTATTAAAGTACTAATAAAGCGGATAAATAAAGCGTCCATTTTTTCCTATTTCACCCGACCAAACTCTCCCCTCATCTGTCATTGGCTAAATAAACAAACATCCCATCCTCAAACTAACTCCATTGGTTGATTCAACGTTGCTAAACAAAGCAATGTTTTGAAAGCCCCATACAGAGCCACAGTGTTTACACTTTTAGGGAAATCAAGCAACAAACGGCTGACTTAGGAAAACATTTTACTTAGTCTTTAAAAAGCACATTTGCAGACATTTTATTATTACCTGAGGGCAGAGAGTATCTGCGTGCACCACCGCTTCCAAGCCTAAAACACACAGAAAGCGTCAGATTTTGTTATATTTCTACCAGAAGGTGGTGTTGTCCTCCAGCTTTCCAGCAGTAGACCATTTACTTTCAGACACTGATGCAACATCTCACCTTTACATTCATAGTTTTATGGTTCTTCTTGGTCTTCTTCAGAAACTGCTTGAGACTTCCAGATGACATATATTCTGTGATAAAAATCACCTGTGTGGCGTGAAATGAAAGAAAGCATGAATGCCTGAATTCAGGGCAAAGTTCACGCAGATGTTTGACTCTGTCAGGTGTGTTTCGAGTCTCACCCTCGCTCTGCTTTCCCTCATATCCAGCCAATACTTGTGAAACTTCACAATGTTGGGATGCTCCACCTGCATCAGGTTCTCAAACATCTCTCTTATCCGCTCCTGAGTAACACAAAGCATGTCAACACTTAGGTTTTACATTTCAAGCGTTGGTTCTGTCACCATACCAGTGTGATGACGCTACGATACAGTAACATTTCACAGATGTTCTGTGGTGCAGCATGCTTAGTATCCCACCCACAATATTGATGTTGGAAAACAAGCATGGCTGTACCTCAAAGGACTTGAAAACCTTCTTGTCTGAAAACTGTACTTCGTTCCACACCACCTCCACCCCCTCTTCGGTGTCCATAGCCAAGTACGCACTCTCGATGCCTGGGACATTTCCCTGACTGACCTAAAAAAAAAGGAACAGAGGGTGGAAAAGGAGGTTTAGTGCTTAAAATTCTGCCAAGTTCATACAAAGTACCATTTAGCTAGTGATATCTGCAATATTTACTTCATGTTGCGCAACGTTCTACAGTGTTTGCAAATGTGATATTTTAGAATCAGCTTCTTGGTATTCAATGAGTATTTCTGTGAAGACGAAGAAGAAGCACACGCCTCCTTCTCCACCCCCTCATGGCTCTGCAAATCTCCCATGGTGCAAGTTGTGGTTTTCTGCGCAAGAATGACAGCACAGATACATTCAACGGCCTGTAAATTCTTGTTCGTTTTTGTCTTTGCAATGCTGTAAATTAACCTTATGACAGAAAAGGTACATTGATGTTTGCTTGCTGAACACTGCTAGTCTACATGCTTTTTTTTTTTTTTTTAGGACAGAACCAGCGCTTTTATTATCACATCTGTCTGGAGGAAAACAAAGTGATTAGATTTTTCTATTTTTAAAGGCTGAATTTGCCCCTTCCTGCTGACGGGTCAGCTCAAACTATGTGTTTTAGAAGCAGACACTGCATGATCCAGTCAAGCTGAGATGCAGCTGTCCTCTAAAAGGACTTGGATGGATTTAACTGGGTCTTACACTGAAAAAAACACATGACTTCAAAATGATAATGGTGTTTGGTAAGCTTCGACAAAGAGCTTTATATATCAGGCCATTCTGCTACTGTAAGTGTAGAATAAGACAGATGTGTTGGAGTTATTATGATATTTACTGTACTAAACAGAATTAATAGCAGTTCAAGCACAAATAAATGATCCAGTTACTATGACCATTTATGTGAAGCTGCTTTGACACAATCTACATTGTAAAAGCGCTATACAAATAAAGCTGAATTGAAATGTGTATTGCTGATTACAACATCTTAAATAGGAGCACTTTATTTCAGAGATGCATTATTTAAGAGAAATAAATGTGATTACAATATGAAAACAGGTAAGTTAAATTAAATATTTTTGAATGGGGAAATTTTATAGTATATATTAAGTAAAAATTACAAGTAGAAACAAATGTACAGTACAAAACAAGCACAAATGAAATAGACAGTGCTTTATGTTTTCTTTGTCTGCGAAGTCTAACAGTATTTGGGTACAGAATATGAAGTGTGCGTGAGCCTGAGTGAAGGACTGACTGGAGCGCTTGAGGTTATATCAGGTCAGCAATTTCAAGGTAACCTTTTACCAGAGATTTATAATAACCGTTTCAAACTGTAAATGTGAGTACAGAATAAATCTGTGTACAATCTACCAGCCTCCCCCAGGTCCTAATGCATGCCTGGTAACATAACTGATACACATGGGGGCGTTGTAAACTTTAGACTTGGCAAATGAAAGAAAAATACACAAATAAAAAGAGGTTGTCATAAAGTGCTCAGTCATGCTTCAGAATAAATGAAAAAAATAATGACTTATTGACTAATATGAATCATATGGAGGTGAATTCAGTATCTGCTCTGTTTGGGCCCATTTCCACTGAGTGGTACGGTACATTAGTATGCTTTAATGACCGTTTCAACTCTCAAAAGGTACCTAAAAGCGAACCGTACTGTACCACTTTTTAGGGACCCTTTCGGAAGGGTAGCTAGCACCAACAACAACAAAAGTACCAAAAGGCGGATTAAGACGCGCAGCTGATTGCTATTGGTTTAAAGAGATATGTCCCTAGCTCGTGGACAAGCCAGGAAAATAAAAACAAAGGAAGCCATATATTTTAAATACATAGCCGAGACATTACACTGTAATACTACATATATATAATAACGACCCATGGTGGACCCGAGCTTACACTACTTTTGTCGTCGTCTTGATGAACAGCCACAAAGCCAAGAAGAGCAGAATCTGCCCTGTGCCCTGTAGTTGTTTACAAGGCCGTCTAAAGCATGAAGAGTTTCGCTTTCTCTATTGAGCTCACCGCGCATCTATATTTGAAATAACAAACTTCTTGAGCTGATAACAATAACATACGCATAATTATTGAAGTGCTTCTGACATACGATCCTTTCAGAAACAATCAATCTCGAAAATGACGAGCAAAAAAAAGGAGAAGCCCGACAAAACAAAGCAGCAAATGATTTTTTTCAGTAGCATAAAACATTGGTACCCTTTTGGCAGTGGAAACGCAAGCCTAATAAAGGTGACCCGTACCATACCATTAGTCTTTTTTCTTCACAATATCGCTCCCAATGCCTGTCCCATGAGACATTTATTGAGGGGCTGCAGTGTTACACTAATACAAATGAAAAAAATACAATTTAGTTCCATCTCGAAAACAAAGCATCAATTGGGGTCATAAAATCACAAGTCTGATTTTAATTTGTTGTGAGAAGCGAACACTTATGAGGGATAAAAATATCAAACTTGACTCTATAGTATAACCTGTGAATTAAAAACACTCAAACAGAAATATATTGGCAAACAACAAAAACATAAGTCAAGGAACTTGAAAAGTAGGGGGAAATAAAAAAAATAAATAAATAAAGTACTTTGAGTGCACTGGACTTATGATGTTGTTGTTTATCTTCATAAATCCCTCGATCATAGAGTGCCGACATATTAATTACCCCTGAAACACTTTGTTTGATTTTAGGAATACATTGGCATCAGCTCAGCCGAAAGGAGTTTGAAAATATTGTTTATATCAAAGTCAAACATATATTCTTCCCCCAAAAAATCATTTATTATAACCATTGTTGTTGATTTTCAGGAAGACCAACCCTTTCAAAAAACTATAAAGTGAAATTTATCATTCCTGTGAAATTAAAATACTCATACTCAACACTCCACTCCTAATAATGGTTAAACTTTGCAATTACTCCACAAATCACATGCATATCTAGTCATCCATGATCCCTACTTGACATCACAGATGATATTGCAGATATGCACATTGTGATGCTGAATACACGTTGTGTAACCCAAGATTGTTTTGCTATTTCAAGCACACCACTTGTAAATCGCCATTTTGCTCTAGGCTCAGAAGTTTAAACTTGCCATTAAAAAGGCGGACTGACATAAATCAACCTTAGGACAACAGTAAAACTGAACAGGTTTTATGACACTTTTACTGACAAATGCCTGAGCACAAGATTACGTAAGACACAACGACAGAACACAACGACAACATAACCACTTTCAATTACATTTGGAGCTAATTAATTCCTTAGATGCCACACAAACAGACAAGGAATGTCTTTAAAAGCAAATAAAACATGTTCAATTCCCTATGCGACCCAGAAAGTCTTTTTTACACAGCAGTCTCAAAATGATTGGCAGTTGACCCTGGATAAGGCTTGTACCACAAGGGTTTCTGAAAGTTTCTCAAGTCGAATTTAAGGCTTTTAAATACATTTTAAAGACCATTATGAATAAAATTTTAGACTTTTAAAGGGTTAATTGCTGAGGCTGAGACAGTGGAAATTAATTTTTTATTAGCATCATTCGAAAACATTTTATGGAGTTATTTCTTAGCCACAACTTGTCAGAACAAGCAAACACTGTAGTCATATATACATGCACAACTTTTTAAATAAAAAAAAATGTACAAGCTTCAAAAACTACAATGAACTAAATGTATACACAATAGTCAGGTCAGTGCCCTCACCATATATGGTCTATAAATGCATAGAGAACATATAAACAAATGTCATTGTAAGGAAGATAATTAAACCATATTGTTTATTATATTAATAGGTATAAAGGAGTTTTGTTAAAAGTTTTATTGAGATGGATTGTGTACTTTACATGGACATAGGAAATTAAGACCCTTTTGAATTGATTTAAGACCTAAAAGATGATATTTCAGAGAATTATAAGGCCTAATATTTTGTTCTTGAAATTTAAGTCATTTTAAGATATAATGTTCTCATGTACACCCTGACCCCAGTGTCCTCTAGTGACGCATACATGGATGTTAATAAGATTATCAAATTATGGCCTACTAGCCATGGCAGAGTAAATTAATTCAATGTACCAAAGAAAAAAGAAAAGAAGAAAAACGCATATACATAGGGGACATGGTCTATGTTAGTATGCCTTAAAGCCACTGTGATGTCTTAAAACAGCTTATTTGAAGAAAAAAATTGAAACCAGAACTGTAACAACATTCTTTTTTTGTTTTAATGCTGCTATCTATAGCATAAAATGAGAGATGAATCCTAAATGCACACCGTGAGCAGTGTTCTTATGAGCTCTTTGAGTCTTTGTGGTGAAGTACAAGCATACATTGTGACCTGCAGTGAAACAGTGAACAGTAATGATACGCTGTTAACAAAAGATTTGCCCAAGCTCAGCAATTCACCTACATCACGTCGAGCGATAAGAGAATTAAAAATACATAGATTATACTAATCTGACTATGTGAAACTATGAGAGCTTGGATTAATCCCTCATCTTTGCATGACACAATGACATTACAGCACAGAATGTTTTTTTTCCCGGGATTAACTTCATGAACATTGCATTAGCATTCATCACGTGTCACAGAACAGAAAAAACTTCTTGTGAATGCACATAAACATCACATTCTTTTGATTTTCCTAATGGAAATGTTTACCAAAAGTCTGAATGTTTAGGAAGGTCTCTTTTTCCCATCAGGAACCTAATCCCATTTCTTAACATATTACTCTTAAAGAGTTCTTTTATTTAATTTACATGCAATGTGACCAATGTGATTAGACTCCCGAACAAATTATGAGGCAGTCTTCTTATATGAAGGAAAAACATATGCAGTGTGACCAGTCTAGTTCCCTGAACAAATGACTCTTATAAGTGGTTCTTTTAAATCAATGGTCTCAAACTCAATTCCTGGAGGGCCACAGCTCTGCATAGTTTAGCTCCAACCACCACCAACTCACAACTGCTAAAAAATCTCTTGTAGTTTTGAACACCTTGATAAGTTGGATAAGCTGTCTTCGATTAGAATGGAGCAAAACTGTGCAGAGCTGCGACCCTCAAGGAATC